CCACTCCACGGGGACCGCCTTGCTCAGCTCACAGTGCAGCGTGGTCGTGGCCCCTTCCATGGCCTCTTCCTTCCTCAGGCTCTTTGTGAACTTGGCGGGCAGGGCTGGGGAGAACCAAGGATCAGGAGGACTCCAGGCTGTCTCGGGGACTCTATGTCCAGGACAAGACACCCACAAGCACGACACAAAGTGCCTAGAGCAACGGCATGAATGAGTGAATGGAGCACAGAGTGGGTGAGGAAACAGTCCAGGAAAGGCAAACACAAGCCTGGACACAGACACCAGAACAAATACTTGACAAGGAGACGGAAGCTGGGAGTTCCCAGGGGGCCACAGCTGGAGAGAGACAGATGCCCACAGTCTGACAGGGAGATGGTGGTGATAATGGACAACATGCAGTCACCAATACATTGGCCCATGTGGCCACACATGATCTTTACCCCTGACAGTCAGCATGGCCGATGTCCTCTCCTGCCCGCACACACACGAGTACTCCCCGGCATCCTCCATGGCCACCCCACGGATCTCCAGCTCACACATGTTTCCGTCCTGCCTCAGGCTGACTCTGTCCCCAGCTCTGAGGGTCTTGGACCCCTTTCTCCACTCCACAGGGGCCACCTTGCTCAGCCTGCAGCACAGCTTGGCTGTGCCCCCTTCTGTGGCCTCTTCCTTCCTCAGGCTCTTTGTGAACTTGGCGGGCACAGCTGGGGATGGTCAGAAAGATACAGACACAATCATAGTCTCTGACCACTTAGACGAGACAGGACATTAGCAGCACAGAGACCATACAAACAAAACTCGATGTGGGCCACAAGCTGGGTGTGCTTGTGGGTTGTAGCTTGTGGGTTGTGGCTTCCCTCAGACTGGCTTATGTAAAGTGTTGCCATGGCCTCTTGGTGGCTCCTGTAGCCTCATACTTTGTATGACTCTGTCTAGCCCAGCTGGGGGGTCAGACACAAAATGGAGCATTGTTGAGGGCAGGACACGATACCACAGAGGACAACACAGACTCCCACAGGACAACAGGATGAGATGTGACCAAGGAGTATATGTGGCTGGAATTCTGGCTTCTCATGGTTCACACAACAACCCAGGAAGGGGAGATATTCCACGGAGTAATGGGTATAGGGTGACCCCGGGAAATGTGAAAAAGAATGTGAACAAGGAATGAGAGCACATGGACATCACAAAGTAAACTGGACACCAGATCACAGTTCCGCTTGGCCACACACGGTCTTTACCCTGGATGGTCAAAGTGGCTGATGTCCTTTCCTGCCCACACACACACGAGTACTCCCCAGCATCTTCCACAGCCAGGCCACAGATCTCCAGCTCACATGCTGTCCCATCCTGCCTCAGGCTGACTCTGGCCCCAGCTCTGAGGGTCTTAGAGCCCTTCGTCCACTCCACAGGGACCGCCTTGCTCAGCTCACAGCGCAGCATGGCTGTGGCCCCTTCTGTGGCCTCTTCATTCCTCAGGCTCTTTGTGAACTTGGCAGGCACAGCTGGGGATGGTCAGAAAGACACAGACACAATCATGGTCACTGAACACATGGATGAGAAAAGACACTAACAGCACAGAAAAGACACAAACCAAACTAGACATGCGCCATGTGCTTGCTGGGTGTGCCAAGCACACACTGTGCATTGTGGCTTCCCTCAGACCGGCTTATATAC